ACATATTTTGAAGAATAAGTTTTTATCATTTTTATTTTACTGTCTATGTTTTTGACGCTTACTAAAATCAGAAAATTGATTTTCATTTGAAACAATCATTTTTTATGTATTTTTAATATTAAATGTAATTTTTATCGTATTAGTTGTGGTATTAGTATTAACACAACCTGTATAATATTTAATCAATAATTACTATAAAAAGAGAAATTCATCATTTCTTAAAGCCAGCAAATATACAGGGTGGTCCGAATTGTATTGCGGAAACTGCGGCAGCATATTCTGCAGATAAAAATAAGTAAAAAAAGTTCATATAAATGTATGTCCTTATATGCTTAGTTTCAGAGATACAGGTTGTAGAAGTTTCATTTTTATTTCGATTTTTTCCAAATAATTTCTGAAGTAATGTCAATATTTAGATGAAAATTGGTGTCTAGGAGTTTTTTAAGATGAGAAATTTGATTTTGATGTCAATATGACTCCTACTAGTAGAGGGCGCCACCTGCATGTGTTTTAATTGTTTTGAAGCGTAATAACTTTTTGTCCGTACCTGTATAAAACTACCGAGGGGAAAAAATTACATCTCTGTAACTTTCTATGTAAAAAATATCTCTTTGTAAAAATTGCTACGAGAGCAACTGTTCTGAAGTTACTTAGAATGGAAATAGTCAATACATGTTATTATTGACAAAAAATAACCACGTTGAGTAGATAGTTATTTCACTGAAATAATAAATTTAGGAAATTTTTTTTTTAAATTAACCATAAATTTTTCTGCAAAAAATGACTATAAAACAGTTTCTGCTGAACTTTTAGCACTAAAACATTTCAAATTTATGATTTCAGTCTAATAACTATTTAGTCAACATGTTTAATTTATGTCAATGATGACAGGTATTGATAATTTCGATTCCAAATATCTCGAAAACCATTACTCGTGGCGATTTTTACCAAGAGACCTTTTTCACGTAAAAAAGGTCGTAAATGTATATTTTTTTACTCAGTATTTTTATACAGGTACGGACAAAAAGTTATTACTCTTCAAACCAGTTAAAAAATATATAGGTGGCGCCCTCTACTAGTAGGAGTAGGAGTCACATTGACATCAAAATCAAATTTCTCATATCAAAAAACTCCCAAACACGAAATTTCGTCCGAATATTGACTTCACTTCAGAAATTATTTCGAAAAAATCGAAATAAAAATTAAATTTCTACACCCTGTATCTGCAAAACTAAGCATTTTAGGACATTCATTTATACGAACTTTTTTACTTTTTTTATCTGCAGAATATGCTGGCCGCAGTTTCCGGAATACAGTTCGGACCACCCTGTATAGTGGTAAAATATTACATGAAATACCGAAACATAATATTTAAAAATTCTAATTTTTCACAACTATATACAGGGTGAGTCTTACATAAATGCAAACATTTTTAGGACTGGTAGAACTTGATAAAAGGACCATATTTTCACTTTGCCGTTTTTTAAATCAATCCAAAATAACCGAGTTATTTTACTTTGAAAATTAAAAAAAAAATGATTTTTTGCTTAAATTTTGAAAACCACTGGACCTTTTTCTGGATTTTCTTTCTTGTAAATTTAATCTACTACCTGTGTTGTCATATTATCAAGAAATTATGTTTTTAACTAAAAACTAAAAACATTTCCAAAAAAATTTTCAAAAAATTCCCAGTATTCAATTTTTTTCAAAAAACCTCATAATTGTGTTTCTGGGGTCGAAATATACTACCTCTAAATATATTTGCACTTATTTAAGATTCACCCTGTATAGGTACTACCTACTACCCTTATACTACCTTACGATCGAAAAAAAATGGCATTAGAGATGGCGTAGTAGAGATGGCGTAAATGAATATCGCTGTCGTTTTGTATGTCAAATTATATGGGGAATGTCATCGATCACATCATTTCTAAGCCAACTGGACGCCTTTTTTCTTTTCGATGATTATCTGCCAATATTTTCATAGATCATACAAGTAGAATTACTAACAGTAACCTCCAGATCAAATCGATAAACTTTCATAAAGTAATTTTTGTCATGTAAAAATAAAAATTTTAAAAAACATTATAATAATAATGATACTTATAACTATATACTTTCTACCTCGCCCATCTGTGGTATCGATTCAAAATTACAGGTTATTATAAACTATTTTTTTATATACATTTCACACATATCAATTATTACTATGTTGAGCGTGTTTTAAAAATATAACTTTATTGAGAAGGTAGGTAATACAGTACTAAAGTTTAACACAGGATCGTGAACAAGATTGATTCTATATAGGGATTACAAGCTTTTATATATAATTTAATGTTAACATAAGCATAAAACTATTCTAGAATATGGGTGGCTTCGTTGGCAGCTTCCATTTATGGGATGCCCATAACTCCTATCTATTTTTATTTTTACCCTATTTTTTGTTAATATGGTAATTTAACATATTATATAAGTGATACATTATTGAATAATTTTAATATTTCTATCTTGAAAAAGAGATGGGTTGAAGTACATCCTGATTAAAAATATTATCAAGTAGGCCACGGCTGCCTTTTGTTTAACAAATAAATTTTCAGAGTCTATTGTTTTTCACACAAATGTTTCCATCAAATTTGTAAAAAAAATTAGTCACTATACACGGTTCATAAAATTGACGACCTTGCTAATCGATTGGTGTTAAAAATAATATTTCGATGCTTTTCATATTATTTTTTTCTAACGTTATTAATGACATCGGAATAAAATTAAGCTATTTTGTATTCTCCGTCAAAACAAGAAACTAATTTGAAAAAATGATATTACGTTCATATATTTTCTCCTCGACAAATAGGCTTTAGATTTTATTCGTTAAACAAATAATAATTTATAATTAGAATTTATGTTATTATTGCAAGGTAAAATGTCCAAAGTCCGTTTTCAGAGGTTTTCGAAATGTTAACAACTATATTTAGTTCACAAAAAGTATGTATACCAAGTAAATTTTGTGAACTTTGAATTTATAGATAAAGCGTATAGGTACACACTTAGAATTGCAAATTTTCTTAATTGGGCATAAAATCAAATACCTACTGTTTTTTACACATTGCGAAAAAATACCATGCAATATTTAATGGTTCAAAATAACGAAATGATTATTATAATACAGGGTATCTCTTAAATAAGTCCATGTGTTTTAAGGGGTCGTAGATTTGGACAAAAGAAATATATTTTCTATTTGCCATTTTTAAAATAATTTGAAAATCTCAGCTTATTTGACGTCTTGTGTTGTCACAGGGGTAGGAAATTATAGCTGCGCTTAACTTAGATATACATAATATAGAATGTGGTGTGCACACTATCAAGAAATATCAGGACAACGAACCTGCGGCAATAAAATGTTTCTAAAATTTCTCGGAAAATATCAAGAAAAATGTTAAATTTTCAAGATTTTTTTGCAAAAACACCTCACAAGCTGGTTTCTGAGGTCGAAATATACCACCAGTTAAAATATTTGCACTTTTTAAGAGACTATAATACACCTACATTATTATATACTATTTCCCCGGATTATATTTACAAGAGGAAAAAAACTTTTTATTATTGACATTTTGAGAAAAATGCATTCTTCATAAAAAAAATTTGTTTGTTCTATAATTTATACCGTATGATCGAGAAAAAACGGCGTCCAGTTGGCTGTGAAATGACGATCAATGACATTTCCCATATACATTTACATATAAAATGACAGCGATCTTTATTTCATAGCCGTCGCTGACGCCGTTTTTTTTTCGATCATACGGTACTTTTGCAAATTTCCATACCATTTTAGAGAAAATTAAAAAAACATGAAAATGTAGTCCATTTTTTTCCTTTCAAGTCCTAAAAATGAAAACGCGTTTCTATAATAATATAATTTCGTTTTCATTCTTTGATAGATTGTTAGTGACAGAATTTTAATTAATGCCATATTTTGCTAATTAAGGCTGCATATTTTGCTGTTTTAAAATGTTAAAGAAGCACAAATTTTATTTAGTTCAATGCTACGGAAAGGGTACATCGATATCGGAAAAATTTGATACTTTGATAACATCAAAAATATGACGTTAATCAAAACTAATTATAACGATCTTTCAAAGAATGTAATCGAAATTATGTTACCATAAAAACGCCTTTTAACTTTTAGGACTTGAAAAAATTCAACTATACATTTTCATGTTTTTTTTATTTTCTTTGAAACAGCGTGGAATCTTGGAAAAGTATAAACGGGATTAACCATTTTAGAACAAGCAAAAATTTTTATGAAGAATGCATTTTTCTCAAAACGTCAATAATAAAAATGTTTTTCCTCTTGTAAAGACAATTCGGGGACATACTGTATATCACTGAATAAGTATCCTGTGCCATATTCGCTCCATACCTGTATAGACCAGAAAAGAACTATATTTTTTATTAGTTGAGTTAAACCTTTAAACAGTTTTTTTAAATACCTACAGATATTGCACAAGCTGTCAGTATAATAATTCGCAATTATCTATCAAAAAGAAAGTAAAAAATATGTGAAGTTGAGACGAAAATAAATGTTTGTAATAGCGAGTAATAGATTCCCCAGGTTAAAGTCCGAAAGGGAGATCTCCAATAAAGTTATTTACTTATGCATTTCTTGGCACTTTGCACCTTTTGACAAAATTAGACTGTTCGTCGAAGTAACCTTGTTATAAATAATATTTCTTTGTTTAAACAAATTTCTTTTTTTTCTGGCTAATTAGTGACAGAGCTTTTCGAAAGATATTTGAAGTCTTAAGTTAATTATTTACTATAAGAATTTCATAATCTTCGAAATGTTAAATATTTACAAAAAAAAGGTGCATGACTTCTTTATCCAACGTTCCACGAACGATCAACACGTTGCATTTCTTACAAACTTTTGGCCGAATTTCAAACGGAAAATGCCCCCAAACATTTATAGAATGCTAAATTTATTCCGCATTTTTTTCTTGCAGATATGCGATCATTTAGGAATATCAAACGAATCGGATTATTTCGGCCTGAAATATGAGAATACCAAAGGCGAAGAACTATGGCTAAATCTTCGAAACCCAATAGACAGACAAGTAAACATCCATGGTAATACTACTCCTTTACGTTTAGGACTTAGAGTTAAATTTTGGGTTCCTCCACATCTTTTACTCCAAGAAAGTACTAGGTAAGTTCAGAAGGAACAAGCATTTTATTAAGCATAGAGTGTTTGACGAACTGCAGATATTTCATATCAGACTTAACTATCTAAAGTCGGTTGTTGTTGCTCTTTACAGGCATCAATTTTATCTACACGCCCGTGCTGACCTGATAGCTAAACGTTTGCTGGCCAGTGATTGGTCTACAGCCTCTAAAATAATGGCACTCATAGCCCAAGCAGAATCCAGTGATTATGATTCGATTCATCCACCACATAATACATACATGCAGGTAAGTCTTAAGACTATTTCTGTCAATAATATCATATTTTAAAGATATATTTGTTTATTAGGTTTCAACAATAAGTACACATGACCATTCCACGAAACCAAACAACTTACTTCAACAAGTTATCAAGGAACATAAAAACCTGAAAGGCATGAAAAGGACTACAGCTGAATATTGGTTGTTGAAAGAGATTGCGCAATTTGAGTCATTTGGTGAAGAACTATTTACCAAAATCCAAGGGAATATCTATCTTGGAGTAGGACCTCATGGTATGTATTGAAAACATTGATATAAAATATGTCTCTTAAATAAGTACAAGTATTTTAAGGGGTCTCAGAACTGGACAAAGGAAACATTTTTTATTTAGTCGTTATCAGTAAACGAATTATTTAACTTATATAAAAATAATGTGTAAAATTTATCTTGTCACATAGACAAGAAACTATACACAAAAAATGCATAAAAAATATCCAGGTTTATTCATATTTGTTTTTTTTACAGGAATTACTATTTACGAAAAAAACAGTGATGAAAAACAATTAATATCGTTTACAAACATAATCAGCGCATCCTCTCATAGAAGAATTTTCAAACTTGAATACTACGATTGTGATACTAAAGAAACGGTTTTGGAACTCAAACTTGATTCCTGTCACAATGCCAGTAGTCTGTACCGCGCTATTACAGAAAAGCATGCATTTTACAGGTAAGATATTTTTGACGTTTTTCAAACATGAAATACGTATTTTTATCTCATTAACATCATAAGTCTAGTAATACGGGGGATATTGGAAATTAACATCAAGGAAATAGCTGAAAAGTTAAATCAGATTTAAAATAGTTTAGAAAAATTGAAATATTTTTAATACAGAGCCTGACTTGTGTACCATAAAACACTCTTGTATTCACTGTCTGGGCATTTTTCCTTTGATTAAAAATGATTGCCATAAACAATATCAATGAAACGAGGAAAATTGACATGGAAATAAATCTGATAAGTTTATTGAATTTTTGCTCCTAAAAAATCTCTGCTAAAGATATATTACATATACAGGGTGTCAAAAAATAGTGTATCTAACTTTGGTGAGTGATTCTACAAATAAAAATAAAACAAAAAGTTCCTAGAATTTTACACTATCGCCATTCGCTGTGCCATTAAAATTGTGTAAGTACCAAATTTCAAGAAAAACAGTTTACCAATGTTTTTAAAAATAAACAAAATATATTATTTTTATTTAACCTTTGGAGGGCTATGCTGTAACTTCTTCAGAAAGCATTTTAGGGCATATGTTCATAGCAACTTTTTCTTTTATTTTTATCTGTAGAATCACACCCGCCGTTAGATACACTATTTTTTTGACACCCTGTATATAAGTTGTCAAATTATGTAAACAAATATTTTTGTTTGGTATACAAAAATATATAGTTTTTTTATTATAAATACGCGATTGATATGAAAAAATATAACTTCTTTTTTTTTTCGTTTCAAAGAACTTGATAACTACCTCTTGTATTTTAATAGACAAAAACTTTTGGCTTAGAGTTGAATTCACGACGAAGTCTCGTGGATTCTCGTCATATATATGCCAACATCGCCTACACCACACGCGAAAAAAGCGTGATAATGTTTTTTTATCCGTTAGAATTACAAATTTGAATCTAATTGCATTAAATATGCATCTCGATACGTGGCCTTATCTACAAATCGATTGGGTATTTATTTTTAGTAACTTGGCGTGATATTAGGTACTTAGTAAATTGCCTTTAACCTACGAAGATTTTGCCTATTTTTACATTATCGATCATTTTTGAATATTTTTGAATAAGTAATGACCTTTATACTATAATTTACTTTTTTAAAATTAAATTAAATATTACTCAAAACTTTTTATTGCTACTGGTTCGCTTCGGTGGTACGTTTAGAATTTATTTCTACAACTATACGTAACATTTATATTGTTCAGTTTTATTTTTGAGTTTAAGCATCTTTTTTTTAAATTCCAGCTGCGAAACAGTACGCAGTGCTGTAACAACCCAATTTATCAGGGATCTAAAAGGTACCATCGTTTCAATTTTCAACGAAGATTCGACTTTGGGCAAAAAATATGTTTTTGACATCAGAAGAACGTGCCGGGAGGTGTATGATAATGCCAGGAGAGCCATCTATCAGGAAAGCCAAGCAAAACTTGCTCTGGATGCCGAACACATGAGCGCCTCTAATCTTGAAGGAGACCGCTGCAAAGTAAGTACCGTAAATATACCTGTTTTACAGGAGTATTAACATTAACCAAGTTTAACAAATCGGTTATTTTCATTTTATTTTTAAAATAACATACCGGGTGATGCATTGACATTGGAAACATAGGAAATCGCGTGCAAAACTGCATCTATTTTTAAATTAAAACTGAACAGGTAACACTGCAAAACCAGGCAAATCCCAATGTACTACCTTAAATTGTCATCCTATAATTTTGTCAATGAAAAATTGTATCTAAACGTTAGGCTTTTGCCTCATTCAAAACAGTTTTAAATTACAAAAATGCGTTTCGATGACGCTAACCTTAGGTAAGATAATATGTAGTAGTGTAGAGAGTACAAGAAATTATATTTGACAATGGTAAAATCATAGGTTGACATCTTAAGGTATGTTGACATATGCCTGGTTTTGCATTGTTACCTGTTCAGTTTTAATTTAAAAATAGATGTAGTTTTTCTTAAACTAAATACTTAAAATCGGCTTGTCCAAAATTGTTCAAATTTGGCATGTGTATTCAGCATATGCAGACATCAGGCAGACATTTAAAAAACTTATTTACGACTTCACTGTAAAATTAATAGGCGAGCCAATATTTGTACAGTTCAAAATTTGCATGGGATTTCCTGTTTCCAACGACGATGCACCATCATATATATACTAACTAACTTTGATTTGATATGTATATGTGCACCACCCGGTATAAAATATGTTTTTTTATCCAGATCTGTTACTCCTAAAAATACTTGCACTTGATGTGTGTTTAGTTGTTAAACTACATTTTTTGTTTGTTTCAGGACTCTGAAGAGAAATTATCAAGATTCATCGAAGCTATGACCTGTAAAATCTGCATGGACAATCGCCTAGATTGTGCTTTCATGCCTTGCGCGCATGTCGTAGCTTGCTCCACCTGTTCAGCACGTATTGACCGATGTCCACTCTGTAGGACGGAGATCAAACAAGTCCAAAAACTCTACATGCCCACGTGGTAATAGAGAAAATGCACACCTAATATAGTATTATCCAAAACACGTTAAGTTTGAGACAATCTTCAATTTGTTACTTCTCAACTTGTGATTTTTATTATTAGTCTTTCTCATATTGAGATGATTATTTTCTTATTTTACTGTGTAAATATTTTGATTTGAACTGCTGTGTATTGAGGAACCTTCTATTTTTGCTGTTTCCTTTTTTCTAATCTCGACTTAGAAGGACTCAATAAGATACTTCGACAATAGATATGATTATTAAATATCTGAAGAAATCTATGTATATTTAGTCATAAATAATCAATGCAACTATTTGTATAAGTTTAGGTATTGATAGATATTTTGTATTAATCGATGTTTATATTTATATATATCTATAAACTGTCATACAGGGTGTGCCAAAAGCTCGAAACACATGGACAAATTTTATACATATTTTAAATTTTCTTATTTGTTGCGAACTTTTTGGGGACCCTGTATATCTCTCCCCAACTGTGTTAGTAGATTTAAATTTATTTTTTATGTGATAATTATGAATTAAGTTTTTTACTGTCGAAAAGTATAGATTTATTTAATTGTTGAATTGGCTATAAAACTAAAATAACTAAGTGACCCTTGCTTTAAAAAAAATAATTTATTGTGATACATGTTTAGATGAAAAAATGACCAAATTTATCTTTACTGTTAATTATGATGGGTATGTAGAAATGTGTTTTCTTGACTTTTCTTGAAAAAATAGTTTGGCCAAATAAAATACTTATTAAATATTATAATATGTTGTTTTATTGCAAATTAAGCTTAAAATAAGAAAAATAAAGTAACATATTATTATTTGATTCAAAAATAAAAAATATAAATATGAAAATAAATATAATAAAATAAAAAACAAAAATATGATAAATTATGTTGCAGCCTGGTTGCAGCTTTTTTGTTTTTTGTTTTGTAGTATAGGCAACTCATAATACTTTCTATTTAGCTTTAAAGTGTATAAAACATAAATATAATATATTAAATATATATATATTGGTAAAGGTGTGGATCCGGTGGCTGACCTTGAAGGCCATATTTGCTGCTTTTGATCATCGATACTACGCAAGCGCACATCGTCGATGTTGCCAAATTGAAGTTTATTTTCGAATTATTTGCAGTTAAAATTTTTTTTTTGCGTGTTAATAATAATACAAATTCTATAATTTCAGATTTATCTTGATATCCAAAATTAAGGTAAGAAGGATAATGAAGATTGTGAAACGAAAGTATTATAATATATAAAATTGTATTAATAATAACATTTATTTATATGTTTACATTAGAATTAAAATTTATCATTTACGGATTTTTTCTTAATGGTTTTAAACTTATTAGAATTATTTTATTTCTTTCAAGTTATATAATTTCTAGTTATTTACAGGCAACAATATTTTTGATTATATGCATGTATTGATGTTTTGAAGTGCTACCATGACGGGTCTTATTATAGAACAATAAACGTCAATCGGAGATAGAGGTAACATTTTACCTATTATATAATGTTACTAATATAATATACTTTGATTATAATTAATGTTTGTATCATAATTTCTTAAAAATATCAAGCATAGATATCAAGTTAGTGGATTTTATCGAAGAGTGTGTTGATAAGACTAAAATAAGCTTTATGTTTTATCTTTTTCTCTTTAGAAGGGAGATGGTTTGTATCGTAAAATACATTACAGTATTTAATATCGTGTACTTTGTTATTCTTTTCTTAATTTACTGTAATTTCTTGTTTCCTATAATGCCAAATCTTGACAATATGGTGAAGGTTGAGTTTTGATCTTATTAGTTTTATAAGAATAATAATAATAATAGAAATACAAGACTAAATTAAGACTTAGTTTGTGATTTATATTAAGATCTTTCTTATAATATTTGTTATGTCTTCATCTTAATACTATATTATGCTTGGTCTGGAAAATAAATGTTAAAATATCTTAATTTTGCATATCCTATTCATCCTTCCATTAGGAAAAATATGGTTTATAAATCATATATGCTAAGAAAATCACATAAATTAGGTGTAAGAATAGAGAATCTTAATGTAGCAGAGAAAATTAATGCAATATATGTATAAGCAGAATTAAACAAGGTAACTGTTAATGTTGCTGAAGCTGATTCTACAATTTTAATTACGGAGGCTAAAAGGCCTTTTAAGGCCTCCGTAGTTTGATGGAATGTTAAAAAAAAAAATCTATTATGAACATGACATGGAGCTACAGCATTTAAAAATTAAAAAAAAAAAAAAAAATTTGGACACATCCCTTTAATATCTCGAATTTTAATAAAGCACTTTTTAAACGTAGCATAATAATCTAGATAGGAATCTAGAGTTTTATTTCTATATAATTTTATTGACTGAAAATACATAATAAGCGTTCACTTGTTGTGCGATATATTAAAATAATATACCGCGTACTATGATTGAAAAAAAAAAATAGCGTCAGCAATGACTATGAAATGAAGATCGCTGTCATTTTATGAAAATGTCCTCAATCGTCATTTCCCAGACAACTGGACGCCGTTTTTTTGATCATACGGTATATATTGACAAAAAAACACTGAAAAGCACATATTTGTTTTCTACTGAAAATAATTCCAAAATAACTCACAATCTGGCAACATCGAAGATGTGCGCATGCGTAGTGTCTGTGACTATATGCAGCAAAAACTCGTTTCAAGGTCAGCCACCGGATCCACACCATTACCTATATATTAAATCCGGTAATACCTTAAATCCCTTCATTATTTTCCTAATACCCATATTATATAAGATAAAAAGAAAACTGAACAGGGACACATAAAAAAGTTTTATATTTGGCAGATATTTGGTAATTTTTTCTTACTGGGGATTTTATTGGTTTTGTTCTAGTCTCATTACTATTGGCAGCGCGTATTGCATTGTTGGAAATTCTTTCAAAATGGCTGATCCCTGTGAGGAAGTATGATCAGTGAAGGTCTCAAATAATGTTTTTCGTTTAATTTCGCGTATTTTCCATCAAAACCACTATCAAGGGTTTACTAAAGCTTTAATTTCGTTATGCGTGTTTATATTTCGTTTGGATTGTGCTCTGTTACCTATTTTCTAAGTGCAATGTAGTTGTAAGTGTACTTTATGTGGAAGAAGATTTGTTCATATGAATGTTTTTCGCAAAGTGCAAAGTATATAGGGGCGATTCGTGTAATAATCGACGGAGGGAGCTCCGAAACCGTAAGTAAAAAGTTATTTTTGGTCGATAACACGCCTTTATCTTAGTCCTTTTCGAATGCGTACATCGTTCATGGCGCACACTGAAAGTTTCGAAATAAAATGATTCGTTTTTCAAATAGAATCATTTTGCAATAAAAAGATTATTAACATTGTCAGTTTTATAAGTGCAAGGGCTATCAATTCGGCCAGTTGTGCCTTTTTTCTGCTTTTCTATTCGCCCGCATTGCCGGCTACAAGTACAAGTTTGAAAAAACAGCTGGTCTCTTTTCGCTCCACTGGAAAAATGTTAAAATGTTTCCGGTGAACAAAAAATGTTGCTAAACCACTTTGAGGTGCTTAAAAAGTACCACGTAACGACAGGGAGAAATTTTTCGTGTGAAATTTTGCCCAAATTGAAATGTAGGTCACGGATTTCGGTGAACAATAGCCAACAATACGACGAAAAAAAAGTGCCACTTCATATACCTAACAATTAATAAAAATATATTTGCTATGAAATTCAAGATATTTTGTATTTTATCCCTGGATAGGACCGATAAGGACATAACCTCAAATCCGTAGACTTGTGTTTATCTGGGGCTCTTTGTTTATAAAAAGTAAGCAAAGGGTCACTTCAATTGAACTTGAAACAAAGTGTCGATATGTAATATTTATGTTTAGTGAAATAAATATAAACATTCTCGGGTCACTAGCAAAGATTGTGACTTTTCAACCTCTTATCCAACTTTTTTATAATTTAGTTGTTCTTATCACTTTGGCAATTTCCATCATATAAATATTATTGAGAACCAGTTCTCTTGTTTCCACTATTTAAAAATTGTTAATAAATTAAGCACACTCTTTGTTATATTTTTTGTTTCGTTTTGTTTAAATATTGCTATTTTACAGAAAAAAAACGTGAATTTTTAATATTCAAAATTGAAATAATTTAATGACAACTATTTAAAATATGCTGATAAGTTTAGGTATGCATATTTAGCTTACTTTAAATTAAAAAAAATAATGTTAATTTTGTAAAATAAATTTGTTTAATATACAGGACATATTGTCACAAGGTGGTTTTTTGTTTTTTCTATTTTTAAACTATTCAAAACTATCGTTCATAATTTTTCTTGAAGTGTATTGACTTTAAAAAATGTGTTTATATTTAAAAAAATCTTTTAATTGATGGTAGGGAGAAACATCAATTTTGATTTTTTTTAAAATATAATAAACATTTATTAGAATAATTTTTCAGTATACAGGGTGCTTCAAAAAGAGGGTAGTGCATATATCATAATGTTTTTTTTAATTGCAACTAACAACTATTTTTACTTTATTTTTAGATTCTGTCTAAAATTCTATAATTTTTTCTATGTATAATGTTATACCTATACACGGTCGCACCTCTTTACGAGTCTCCGCGTCGTATGAGAGGCACCACCCTGTACCTAAAATTACTAGTTTTTGTAAAATTTTAATTAGACATGTACCGGATCGGGTTACCCACCTTTAGCACCTGGTACATGTGAATTGACCGTCGGCCCAACCTACCAGGTATGAATACACTCAGTGCACATAATAACACTACATTATCCCGTACATTTATATTTCTGATAAAATAAATAACATCTGGTGACACTGGGATCTTGGACTAGTCATAGAGGACTAAGTATACCGGGTGGTGCATCGTAAAAAACTCTCCAAATATTAGCTCCCCAGTTAATTTTACAGCTAAGTTGTAATTAGGGGTTTTCTCGGTTTTTTTTGAAGGTCTACCTATGCTGAACAACTATGAATACATATGCCAAATTTGAACAATTTTTGACATGCCGAATTTAAGTTATTTAAGAAAAACTGCATCTATTTTTAAATTAAAACTGAACAGGTAACAATGCAAAACCAGTCAAATGTCAAATTAAGTTGTCAACTCATGATTTTATCGTTATATGATCGTTATTAAAAATGTAATTTTTTGTGCTGTCTACACTACTACATATGTTATAATACCTACACTTAGGCCAGTATTTATTATTTATAGTCGATTCTCAAAACTCGACTCCAATCACGAGATGCAAAAGACCAACAAAAATAACAAGCTTACGTTTCGTCGCCTATATGTATACACGCGCCTAGTAAGCCTGTTATTTTTGTACTAGTAAGCCTGTTTGTTTTCGGAGACCCAGTTTCGAGACGCGACTAGTCTCAAAAGCGACTGGAGTCGCGTTTTGAGACCTGACTATAAATACGGACCTTAGTGTCCCCGAAATGTATTTTGTAGCTTAAAACTTGTTCAAATGAGACAAAACCATGACGTTTAGAAAATACAATTTGAAATCGACAAAATTATAGAATCACAACTTAAAGGTGCGCTCACACAGGCTGCGCCGCTCCGCGCCGTGCGGAACGTTTTTTTTTAAAGTACATGTTGAAAAAATGATTTGCGCGGCGCGGAGCGGCCTGTGTGAACGCACCTTATAGTACGTTGAAATTTGCATGATTTTTGCATTATTACCTGTTCAGTTTTAATTTAAAAATAGATTTCAGTTTTTCTTAAATTACCTAAAATCGGCTTGTCCAAAATTGTTCAAATTTTGCTTGTGTAATCAGCATTTGCAGACCTTTAAAAAACTACTAAACGTTCTCTAAAAAACTATTAAAAAGCGGCTTTAAAAACTATTTACAACTTCGCTGTCAAAGTAACAGGGTAGCCAATGTCTGGACAGTTCAAAATTTGCATGCGATTTTTTGTTTCCAACGAGGATGCACACCATCTGGAAGATAATTAAACCAATATAATCAATATGGGACCTGTTGCGATCTGTTTTTGATTTACTTAGACCTTTTGAAGAGATAAAGAAACTTATTAAAATGTTTTGCTCTTTAGATAAAGCGGCATTCTAGATTTGAATATAATTGAGTTTCTTCCATACGTACTCTAGTGTATTAGTTGTCTCAAACATATGTATATATTTATCTGCTATTTCTCTCTAGTGTTCTGTTTTTTATTAGAATGTCTTTTCTGTCTATTAGTTCCTTATACATTACTTTAGTTTTTGCCCAATACATGTATAACCACAGGTATAACATTTCATATTATGTATAATATAATTCAAATTCAAAAGTACTTTATTGTTGTAAAATATATAAATTTAACAAAGCATATTCCTAAATCTAAACCTAAACCTAAAATATCTATTACCAGCAATTTTAACATTAAAACCAGTTTTATAAAAAAGTAAGTAAATGTGTGCAAATATAAAAACAAAAAATAAAAAAAATGTGTTAATATAAGATTGAACAAAATACATCCATTTAAACAAACGGAATTCAGCAAAATAGGTTTAAACAAGTAAGTCAAATAACATATATGTACAATATACAGAATAAAGATAAGATAAAAAATAAAGCTAAAAAGAATATGTCAGACCGACAAGCAATTCTAAACAGTAATATCAAGGGTGTCCCGGTAGAATTCGTCGACGCTGTAAAATTCCCTACTTAAAAGTTCCTTTTTCAGTAACTTACGGAAGGTTCTTATGGAATTAACCAATCTTAAAGCAACCAGCAGATGATTAAAGACCTTTCGGCCCTCATGTATTATAGATCTTTTGACCAAGGTGCTATTTGGAAGAGGCAAGAGCAGATTTGGGTTTGGCGGGTAACAATATTGGGTATAGGACCCTGTAGTCTGTTACGATTTTTAAAAATAAGGGATAATGTTTCCAGAATAAAAAGAGATGGTAGAGTAAGAATTTGTTGAGCTTTAAAGTGTTGTCTACAGGATTCATTACGTGGTCATTTACAATAAATCGTACTGCCTTTTTTGTAAAATAAAGAGAATGTTTAGTAGACCGTGATTAGCCACACCCCAGATTGGTATTCCATATCGGAGATGAGACTCAAACAAACTAAAATAGACCGTCTTTGCCACTTGTGAACCCAGTTCTTCCCTAATTGCCCTAACAGCAAAGCATCCAGAAGACAACTTACCGCTTAAGGCCAGAATATGATCTTCAAATCGCAGATTTCCATCAATAATAATTCATAGGAATCTAGTCGCAGGAATTCCATAATAATTATAGAATTTTTCAGTGTCTAAAAATAAAATAAAAAAAGGGTAAAGGGTGTTTAAAAAAAGTTATATTCACAACACTTTTTAAATATTTTTTATTAATGTTATAACAAATGAAATAATGAACTTTACTGTTTACAGAATAAAATGTTTTGCTTTATATTTTCAGTTTAAAGAGGTAACTGCAGGGCTTTACAATGGAGAAACCAAAGAAGCGGGAATCCCCGATATCTACATCGTCGGGAGGAATCAAACCTGCAGAACCTCCCCCTTCCCAGGAGATCTGTTTTGTTTGTGGTAACAGAGGACATCCCCGGTCGTACCCCCTCAGCTCTAAACCTCGACAAGACCGGCCCAAGGAGCCCTACTTTTCGTTTCTGGACAGTCATGAACCTCCCAAAGGCTATTCAAAGAATTGGGGTAAAACTATATTATATTATCCCTAATAATAAGAGCATGTCAGATCACTTACTTACTTGATATACTTTTTAAATATAGATTTATTTACTATATTTTTGGTATAAGTACCTAATTCTTACTTTATCTTAGAGTTATTAATAATTATTATAAGTTCATATCAAATATAAACTTTTAGTCACGTGATTAAGCTTGACCAGCACAGCGTTGCCCACTTTTACATATTTTCTTTTAATGAAAATCTTTTAGGAAACAAAAATAAATTAATTATAAATATATAAACAGTTATTATTTATAAAACTCACCTTCTTAATAGCTTTTAAAGGGCGTAAAGGACCATTACTACGGCTTTCTCGTTCAAAATATTTTAATACAGTTGCGATGAGTTTTTTACCGCTAAGCAATCTTGTACACTTCGCGGTAAAATAGGTTCTAAAAAGAATATATGTTCGACTGCAAGGTCTGCTAGTAAAAATGTTTAAGCTTAAATTTTATTATTTTTCAATAATAAATAAAAGTGTCAACTTGACATTTTTTACAGCCGAGCTTACAGCCCGGCGCCGAATATGTCCATGGTTAGCAACAATTAATTTAAAATCGCGCCCTCGATTACGTAACTAAAAGTTTAACTGGTATCGGATATATACATATACAGGGTGGCGCACCTCATTCGCCTTGGTTGATTATATACGAAAATGGAAAGATGTAGAAACAACATATTTCATGGGTATATGTGGGGAGGCAATGTGCACAATTTAAAATTCTTTTGATATATACAGGATATATCGGAACTAAGATCCACACCTAAGTTATATTTTTTTTAGATAGGTATAGGAAACCCTAATATAGTTTGAAAGAGTGTTTAAATCTATTTTTATTTATATTAAAAAATACAGGTCGTTGCATTTGAAATAACACAGTTTTTGTGTAAAATAAAAATTGAAAATCGATCAGCAATTTTTGGTACTCCTGTATAAATATAAGGTATCAATATTTTTTTTCAGTAAAGTTTATTTCTCTACCTTTAAACTCAGCACAAGGATTAAATCTGAAAAGTAATGTACAGGGTGTTAATAATCTATTCTATTGCAGCATGCATATTTAAAAATTTAAATATCTCAAAAACCAAAGACTTTAAACATATTTAACCCTTATAATAAATACCTGTTTTGGGCCCAAGAATCCAAAAATGAAATAAAATACCGGGCGTTCCTTAAGAAAAAATATAACTTTGGCATTGATCCTAGTTCCGAAACACCCGGTAGATATCAAAATAATTTTAAACGGTGCACATTGCCTCCCCACATATACCCATGAAATATTTTGCTTCTACATCTTTCCGTTTTCGTATAATCAACTGTGTATGTATCGATCTTTTAAAATATCGATACTTAATCTATCGATTTTGTTAGCGCTGGGGGACTCTTCGATTTACGCGGCTTGTAGTCTGTGCTACCAGTTGCTGATGCAGCAGTGGGATCAGCACGAGTACGCCTCAATACCCCATTCCGAGAGGTTGTACTGGTTGAAAAGGGCCGACAACGGCCCCTACACCGGTGCTGACATGGGCCTACAAGGCGAGTACGCTGCACAGATGCTAGGATTGAACACTGAAGGAATACCACCACCGGGGAATACCAGAACGGGGCCCAGGGAGGACATTCACAGGGTTCGGGCTTCGCCTAGGCCTGTTTCGGCACCAGTAAGTATATTACTGTCCTAACTTTAAACCACCGAATTAAAAATATACAGGGTCCGGCAATAGTGTGTCGGGTATATGTATATATGTAGCTTCTAGAATAAAAAAATTGGAATTTTGTTTAAGCGTAAACCTAAAGTATGTATGAAGATGTATTTCAGGAAAATATTTTAACTTCTATAGGGTGGCTCAAAAAAGTGTGAGTGGATCAGGATGTGTTTTTTAAATGGAACATTCTGTATAATATTATATTTTTGGCTTCCTTTCAGACCATTGTACATAATCCTAAGATATACGTAAATATATTTCGATAGTTTCAGAGATATTAATAAATAAATAAACAATTTATATTTTTCAACCTTCACTAAGAAAATTATTATAAATCGTCCCATTGCTGCCAAAAGTCACTAACTTACTTTTTATTACTTCCGAGAAAAATGCGTCTAAAAATGAATTGCATTGCATAAAGATGTATAGTTAGTAACTATTCGGTATTAAAATAAAACATAAATAACCAGAAATCGTAGTTAATGACTTTTGCAGTCGATTTTCCGCTTCAAAACATAGTTAGTGATTGAATTTGGTTGTTCGGAAAAATGTTAGTTAGTGACTTTTGGCAGCAATAGGACGAAATACAAGAACTGTCCTGAAATCAAAACTATATTAGGTACATATTTACTTTAGATGATCTGATATTTACTTTGCTATAAATATCGTAATCCTTAATCATACAGGATGTTCAAAATTCTACGCCAAACTTTCTAAAATATTGTTAAGGTCAAGGTGTATTACTGGTTGCATAACCGCAACGGTGCATTGAGGAACCTGGCGAATTCGACAGAAAGTAAAAGAAAATTACAGAATTCTTTAGAAAATTCCAGAAACCATCGCCAGGGGGTATATAAGGCCCGCGCTTTGACAGTTGGAGCAGTCTGAAGATAGTCTGAAGTCGAAGTTTGAATATACCGCGCTTTAAATTGTGAAATACCGTTAGAGTAATAGTAGTTGCATAAATTGTGTTGTAAATAGTATAATTTGTGTACAGAGTGAGACAAATAAATTCGTTAAGTATTTTATCGTGAGTTTAAATAGTGGATCCACGGAATCCGTAACAATATGAAATAATTTTTCTTTGTTTTTTTCAAATGGAACACCCTGTATATTATTTTTTTATTAGATATAGAATTAAAAAATTATTATTTTTTGTATTTAAAGTATTTCAAAATTTTAATGATTTCGCAGATACACGCAGTATTATTTCATAAGACTCTCTCAACGGTAAAGTACGAGAGAAAAATTATTGGGTGGCTTTGATAAAAGTTCACTGTAGAAAATGCCATATGAAATATAAAACCGCGAATATCTGCGAAACCGTTAAAAATTTTGAAAAACTCTAAATACAAAAAAAGGTTCATTTTTTAATTCTCCGTCTATTGAAAAAATAATATACAGGATGTTCCATTTGAAAAATCGAAGAAAAATTATTTTATATTTTAGAAAGTTTGGCGTAGAATTTTGAGCATCCTGCATTATTTACAATTAACATATTTATACCAAAACAAGTGCAGACCATCTAAAGTAAATACCTAATAGAGTTTTGATTTCAGGACAGTTCTTGTATTTTTAATATTTTTTTTAAGAAAGGCTGAAAAATATATATTTTTTATTTATTTTTTAATATCTCTGAAACTATTTAAATATATTTACTCATATCTTAGTATTATGTAAAGTGATCTAAAAGGAAGCCAAAAATGCAATAATTTACAGGGTGTTCGTTTTAAAAAAAGTCCTCCCAATCCACTCACACTTTTTTGATCCATCCTATAGAAGTTAAAATATTTTCCTGCAATACATCCCAGAACATACTTTAGGTTTGCACTTAAAGAAAATTCTCAAGTTTTTTATTCTAAGAGCTACAGATGCCTGACGCACTATTGCCGGACCCTGTATAAGAAATAAAGACTTTACGGAGCAAACGTCATGTTTATTTTTACTAGGTAAATTGTAGTTTAAAATATTGATAATGAAAGCCTACCACTTTTTTTTTACTAATTTAATGTTGTGCAGTTGTTACGGTACTGCTTTTTTTCTGTGTTGCCTGTTGCAGAAAAACATGATTTGAGGCAAAAAGTTTCTAAATGAACTGCCTGAATAAAGTAGAAAATTAGTATCACATATCTTAATTAATATAACATTTATTTTATAATACACCTAGGAAAACTAATCAATAATTTATAGAGTGTTTCAAAAAACATGTGCCATCTCACAATAATATTTATTTTTCATCTAAACATATGTAGGTCCGATTCTGCTTTGTTTTGTAGCTACAGGGGGTTCAAGTCTTCCGATATACATGGGTGCGGAAATGCATAGTTTTAAAGTTAGAGGATATTAAAGCTTTTAAAAATAGGTCTTTTGTAATTATCTTAAGTACCTATTTTTGAGGGGAATCTGCTGTAGGTAGCACCATACATCAGTGTTATAAGTTTTAATAAAATAAGATTAAATAGACAATTTATTAATTTCATTTTTATTTTATTAATTATGATTAATAAAATTGCATCAGAATGGACAAAATATCAAGATACAACTTTTAATCGGCATTAAATGTCCTACATAATGGTGTTAATATTTAAGAGGAAAAAAGTCAGTGCCGCACATTTTTTTTTGAAAAATATTTATGATAACTCATATGCACGCCCCTGGTGAATGTGTTATTTATACCCTCAAAATTTCATTCGAATCGTTAGAAGCACACAAGAAAATTATAATAAATCGAAAAAAATATAGACTAACCCCCTGTAGCTATGAAACAAAGCAGAATGGGACCTATGTTGATATGAAAAATAAATACTGTTTGTACATTATGAGGAATCTCCCCACGAGAGATGGCACATTTTTTGAAACACACTGTATACAGGCTAGTTGTATACAGGATATTCCAAAAAACACATGCTATCTCTCGTTGAGGTAAAAATAAGGTTTATTTTTTCTATCAACATAGGTCCAATTCTGCTTTGTTTCGTAGCTACAGGGGGTTAAAATCTTATTTTTTTCGATTTATTATAATTTTCTTCCAAGTGCATTCGGCGATTCAAATGAAATTTTGTGGTAAAAGACAAAAAGAGAAGGTTGGTAAAATAAAATTGAGGGTATATTTTAATGCTAAAAAAGGTCGACAGATTCACCAGGGACGTACATATGGGTTATCACTGGAATATTTCTCTAAAAAAACTGTGCGCCACTGACTTTTATTCTCTCTTGTTAGCACTGTTGTGTAGGCCATTTAATGCCGATTAAAAGTTATCTCTTGATATTGTGTCGTTGCAATCTAAGATAAACACAATTCTATTGCAAGATAATATTGCCTTAATGCAAGACTAATATAAACACTTAAAAAATTTTAAGGCCAAGGTGTTAAATTTGCTTATTGATTCCTGAAAATATGAAAAAAAAATCCTACAAACACGGGTGCGGAAATGCTTTGTTTTAAAGTTACAGGATGTTAAAACTTATAAAGAGATAGGTCTTTTGTAATTATCTTAAATACCATTATTAGCTGACCATACCAACAGGTATGGTAGGCTATTAAGATTGGCAAAAAACAAAGTTTTTTTAATTTCACTCAAAATGAGTTATTTGGGTCGTAAATGACCTAAATACAAAATATTTTCATGGTGTCTGTCTGTATGTCTGTCTGTCTGTCTGTCCGTCTGTCTGTAACACGATAACTCAAAAACCGCTAAACCGATTTTAACCAAATTTGGCTCAAAAATACTGTGGCACCCTTTGAATAAAAAGATTAAGGAAGGAACATATGTTATGTATTTATATATATATTTACGCATGGTGGGTGGAAAAAGGACTCTAAGGTGGGAATCCTTGACAGTTCTGTTTGACGATTCATTTGTCACATTTGTATTTGATTTGAAATTTTGTAGATTTGTCACTCTTTACGGAGCTTATTTTATGTTGTTTATTATTTATTCTACTATTGATAGTTATATAAAGGTAGTAAATCTAGAAGGAAATTGTGGAAGAACTTAAATTAACAGTGATACTATTGCGATTTATTGAAAAATACTCTAAAATAGTTGATTGAGTCGCGTGCGGTAGATCTCGGTCAAAAATCGAGTGAAATAATGGAACAACTTTTTTCGCTAGTAAGTGACTATACAGGGTGGTCCGAACTGTATTCCGGAAACTTCGGTAGCGTATTCTGCAGATAAAAAGAAGTAAAAAACTTCTTATAAATGTATGTCCTAAAATGCTTAGTTTCGGAGATACAGGGTGTAGGAGTTTCATTTTTATTTCGATTTTTTCCAAATAATTTCTGAAGTAACGTCAATATTTGGATGAAAATTGGTGTCTGATAGTTTTTTGACATGAGAAATTTGATTTTGATGTCATTATGACTCCTATTTGTAGAGGGCGCCACCTACATCTGGTTTAACTGTTTTGAAGAGTAATAAGTTTTTGTCCGTACCTGTATATAACTGCCGAGTGAAAAAATATACATTTTCGTATTTTTTTACGTAAAAAATGTCTCTTGGTAAAAATCGTTACGAGCAACCCTTCTCGAGATATTTAGAATGAAAATAGTTAATACATGTCATTATTGACAAAAAATAAATATGTTGAGTAGATAGATATTTGACTAAAATGATTAATGTGGGAAAATTTTATTTTTTTAAATTAATCATAAAATTTTCTTCGAAAAAAATTATGATTGATGATGATTTGACACAAAAACATTTCAAATTTATGATTTTCATCTATTAACTATTTAGTCAACATGTTTAATTTATGTTAATGATGACAGGTATTGATAATTTCGATTTCAAATTTCTCGATAAGAGATCTTTTTTACATTTTTTACAGTTTTACAAACGTCGTAAATGTATATTTTTTTACTTAGTAGTTTTATACAGGTACGGACGAAAAGTTATTACTCTTCAAACCAGTTAAAAATATGTAGGTGGCGCCTCTACAAGTAGGAGTCA